CATTACACAGGGGTCACCTTGCTTACAACATGTGACCTGACTTTCCACCTGCCCTCAAAGTGAGTCTCTAGATTTGTAGTTTGTGTGATATTTATACTCTAACGCACGTACCTGAGACTAGAATTAAAAAGTGGGAGAGGATATTTTGATGATTCTACTTGATGCAATTATCTATGATTTTATTAAAAAGTGCATCACTCTCTTTTAAAATTACAGATAGGAGGTTGGGGCACGATTTCCAAAGTGACAATCAAGGAGAAATGTTAGCATCTGTATGACAGAGTATTGTGATACGATGATTTGACTGATGCCCATTAAGGTGGCCTACCACTCTGTGACATGATCTGGAATCCATAGAAAATAGGGATTCTTTTGTCTATAAGCTTCAGTCATGTTGTGCTCTTGTACCCTGCACTTGAAAGCGAGCACATCTGAGCTGGCCTTTGTCAGGCATGCTGCAGCTCTAAGATCGCCCTACTAAACTGTAGAAGAGTCAGTGAATATACCGCATGCCTTACATTAAACTGGGACAAAAAAGCCATTTTGTGTTGCTGCGTTAGTTTCCCTACCCTCAGCCTGACTTACAAAACTAAGATGTATAACCACACATATCAACCTAGAACTTTGCCCTGTCACGCATTCTCTGAAAGTCTCTTTTCTCCTTCCTGTCAATACTTAGAGGCACTATGGCTGAATGAGTGGTTGTGTTATTCACGATGTGTGTGGCTATCATCCTGAATGAGTGTGTTTCTGTCCTTGACTCACTTTTTCTTTCTTCCTTTCTTTTTCTCTCTTTTCCTCAGTCTTAGCACCAGTCAGACCTTTTCTGTTTAACTCTATTCTTTTATTTCTGAAACACTCAGAGTGCTATTCAGAGATGTATCTGTACAGAAAGAACACACCTAGAGAGCTCAACATTGTGTAATAGGATGTGCTCCCTGAAAAATTTCAAATCCAGACAGCACTGTTGTCCTTCACTTCAGTCAATAACAAAAGGCAATCTTCTTTCCTTTTGAATTTGTGACAGAGGTAGTTCAGGTAATGAGCAAAACGACTCTCTGAATGTGTGTCTTGACAGATGTAAAAATGATCATAAAAAAATACTATGGCAAACAATGTAGATAAGTCAGACTTGACATTGACAGTATTTTTAACAAAAGTCTGTATAAATATCGGATGCCACAGACATGTGTAAGAGAAGTGCATTTTCACAAGGGGGGTTTGCTAAAACCTGAATATACTATTAGCAAAGAAATTAAGAGTATAATTACATGCACATGGAAATATTTCTACTTAGCATGAGGTACAGCTCCGACCATTTATTTTTCAGTTTTCCTCGTCTCACACTTTATATCCTTGTGAGCTATGTCACAAAGGAAAGCACATTAGAATAATAGCAGTAATCAATAATGATGACAAAGTATTTTATGATTATGTAATACCTTCACATTACTATTTCCCCCATTCATATTTGAGAACTCTGATTCTCAGAAAGGTTAAGTGATTTGCTGAACATGGGTCATATTGCAAATTTCGGAACCAGGATTCAAGTAGAGGTCTTTTACCTCTTTCTAGTCTTTCATTATGGAACCATGATATTTCTGAACGATATTGGTGAGACTGTAAACATTATAAGAAACATCATAATTTTCAGCTTATCTTGGGTAATTTCTACCCTAAATTGAGATGTACATTTCTCTAAAACTTATACTTCTTTGTCTTAAGCTACATGGCACCTAAATGTTGAATCAGAGATTGACTCAAATTTCTATTCTAAAACACCAACAGAGATACCTGAATATCTACATAGTTTATTCTTTTTGGAAAATGAAGTTAAAGTGTAATATTAAAGATAATATATGCATGAATGTATAAACAAAACGTGAATTACACATTACAGAGTATCATTATAAAGAAAACAATAGTTTTACAGAATAAAAGTAACTATGGCAACCTATAGATTCAAATCAGGCTGCCTTCCAGGCAGGTAGCAGCTTCTAGTTGCCTCAGTAACTTTCCATTACAGCGTGTCTCAAACACATACATTTTGGAGGCACATTAGCTGAATTTGTCAATGTTCTCAATTTAATTTTACCTTTCTGTGTTGATGACTAAAATAATCTGATTAGAAAATATTCTTGGGACTTGTCTGTTTTGCTGCAACCTTCCCATCCCCTGGCATTTCAGAGAGCTGCCTCCATGAGAATGCCTATTTTTTTTATATCCAGGAAATGAGACAGTTTTAGTAAAACAGTTCCTGACATTGGCTATCAGCAATCAGCCATCCAAACTGCCCTGTGAAGTCCCTTCCTTTGCTAAGACTTAATTTGGGATAATGAAAAAAGACTTAATTTGGGATAATGAAAAAAGAAAGAAAAGAAAAGTACAATTAGCAACATTCTCCTAGTTTCCAGGCAAGGCTGGGCTTCAAAATAAGGTGAAAGCCTAAATAGATTCTAAGACGAGGATCAGTCTTATTCTATTATGGATCAAGAAATGGCATTGAGAACTTCAAATATTTATTTTATATCCACAATACACAAAACACTGTGTCAAGGTATGTGGAGGACAATAGGTGAGTGAGAACTAGTTTTTGCCTTCAAAATCTGATCTAGTGGAATAGGAACAGGTGTGTGTGTGTGTGTGTGTGTGTGTGTGTGTGTGTGTGTGTGTGTGTGTGTGTGTGCAGGTGTGTGTTTACATGTAGCACAAAAGTTTATATGACAAGGTCATGATATAAGTAGATAAAATGTTTTCAGGGTTTGAATGAATTAACAGAAGTCTTCCTAGAGGAGTTTTGGGATATTTGACTTTTAAAAACTGAGAAAAAGAGAAACACTACATGGAGAATAAACAGGATTTCTTCAGTAAAATTACATGGAGATAAGACTGGGTAGATAGAATGGGATGATAATGGCGAGATGTTAATACTATAGCTTGGAATCTATTTTTAATGCAATAAACAGATAAAAATCACTGAAGTCTTTTGGAATAGGAGTATGATAAAAGTTAATCTGTAATTTTGTGGGTAGTAGATAGACTACTATAGAAAGAAAAAAGTAGTAGAGAGATGAATTAAGAGATATAGGCAAGAAAAAAATGAAGTTCAGAATTAGGGTAGATACAATGACAATGAAAAAAGAAATCTGAGGTGCACTATGGAGAAAAAGTATTGATGCTGGCAATAAATTGGGTCTAGGAGGAAAAAGAAAATATGAATAAAAATTAATGGGCTATTAATGGAAGATATAGAAATACAAATAATGAAGTCATTCATTCACTCTTCAAATATTTCTTGAATACTTATTTTGTGCTAGACACTCTGCTAGAAGTTATAGGAGGTAGAGGAGTTGGCTTAGTGAAATGATGGATTTAATTTTATACACGAAGAGTTAAAAGTGTGGGCAGAACATTTAAGAAGCCAATTGTCAACAGAGATCTGTAGCTTGGGAGGAGAACTGGGTTGGAATTAGCTATATATGGAGAAGTCATAGTTAATGTTCTGGAAGGAGAGAGATCACTGAAGTACAAAAATTCTCAGAAGGAAGAGCTCAATTTTGAGAATAGATGTGAGAAAAAACACTGCACTGCACTTAGAAATCTGGAAGAACAGAAACTATTAGACAAACTATTATTCATTTTACTGGTTAAAAGACAAAATGAATAAAAGGAGAATAGGGTAGGATGAAGTATGACAAGAGGCTGCTGGATTAGGTCATTAGGTAATCCATTTCCAGAAGCCCCATTAGCAAGGGAGGAGCTAGAAACAAGATAGACAAAATGGTATGGGAAATTTGGCAGGGAAGATAAAGAGAACAATGGGACGGTAGCTTGACAGGATAGTCATAATAAAGACAATATAAACTATTAGTTAACATTTTTTGAACACTCACAAGCCAGGCACTATTCTGAGTGCTTATCATTTATTAATACATTTAATTTCCACCATAATTTATGATTTATGAGAGAGATATTGTTTCTTTGTCTTTTTTATAACTGGGGAAACTGAGATACAAACTGATTAAGAGACTTGCCCACTGAATTGTACCCCACATTTTTAAAACAAATAAATATATTTTTTAAAAAGTCACAAGTTAAGGCTGAGAGAGAGAGAGAGAGAGAGAGAGAGAGAGAGAGAGAGAGAGAGAGAGAAAGACTTGCCCAACATCATACAATCAATACGTGTTCATTTGAACCCAGAAAGTCTGAATTCTGAGTCCCTGTTCCACTATGCAATGCTGTGAGGCCACCTGCAGCTTAGACAGGTTTTTGGGAAGAATACAAAGGAAGAGTAAAAGCAGGAGAGATGGAATAACGATTAAAGCAAGGCCAAAAGGAATGGGATAAAGGAACCTAGCAAAGGCTCTCTGGAAACAAGATTAAGGGAAGAAAAGGAGAATGACATACTCAGATTTTTAAATCCAGAAGTACATAATTGTGGAGGCCAACATTAGGCGATTTTTGGTCATCTTTGTAAAACAAGAGGTGAGGTCATTGGTTCAGAGGGCTAAAAGGGGATACTTGTGTCTCAAGTGTAGAAGAAGAAAGAAGCTGGGAAGAGACTACATAAACCCCATTATTTATCTTTTTTTAAAATCAATGAATGTAGATACCACAGAGGAAAAGTAAAGATGATTAGGTACGTAAAACCTATCAATAAATCCTACCCAGGCACATGTATGCATTACAATAGGAATCATATGGACACTTGAGGCTGTGCAGACCCCAGTACTCAGTGGTACATAAGAACTAAAAGGCAATTTCTAATCTCACAGCTATATTCTCTCTCTCTCTCTTTCAAGTGGCTTTACTAGCAAAAAGAAACATAAAGTGCAGCCCATGTAAATCAACAGCATATTGATGTACATTTTTTCTTTGTTGTTGTTTTTTTTCCTTGTAAGAAGTGTTTGCTATTTAAAATCTGTTACTAGGTGATAATGGCAAAGCACATTTTTCTCTCCCTTCCATAGTCAACCCCATACATTTGCAAGTAAAAATACCTGTTGCCATGCACATGAGAGGCGCAGAATGCAAAGCTGTAATGGAGCAGGGTAGGGTCAATGACAGCACCATTTTCTGAATGTTCCATCAGTTCTGTAAGGTAGCAGAGATGTCTGTGACAGCCTCTCACACCATAACGGGCACAGTACTCATCTAACACAAAGACTTGGCCAGGGCTAAACCAACCCTGCAAAAGAAAAAAGAAAAGACACGTGTTTTTCTTTCTCTATCAAGATTTGCTTTCCTCTAGGCACTTTTAGGCATTATAAGCAGAAACTGCATGAAAGTGTCTTTTGACATGTATTTTATTAAGCAGCATATTTCATATGTTTTTAAAAGAGCGAATGTCCCCAATTTTAAAACTGATTTGGGACACTGGCAACCTAGTGCTGGGCTCTCTTGATTGTAGCAAAGCATGGGCAACTCCCACTTCCCCAGTGTCATTCAAAATTAGTCAAATTTATTCATAGGATCTATGTTACCACGAAGAGTGACACTCCAAAAACTTCAATCCCTTTGAATACATAAAAAGAGAATGGCAAAGAAGACATTAAAATTGAAATTACCTACGTACCAAAAGCATTTTACAAAGTGAACTAAAAGGAAATTTCAGTAAGTCTAGCAGTAGTATACAAGTACTATTTGGGAATTTAAATATCTGGGATATTTTTTTCAGAGTTTAATGTTTTACATTAATTTCTGGTCCTCTTGAAATGAGATGTTAGAATGTTTGTGTGCAAATGCCAATTTAAACAGAAGGCAGCCCGTGTGGCTAACACTGGATGACGGGGTGAGACAGAATTGGTTTATAAAAATCTCAATGAATTGTATGGATTTATATAGATCAATTTAAGATGATAAAGAAGGGAGTGTGGAGAGTTTTAAGAGGGAACAAGATAATCATGCAAGAGAAAGCAAAGAATGGTGAGAAAGAGAAAGACGAGAAAGCAGCAAAGAAAAGGAGGAAGAGGGGGACAAATGACCAGAAGAATACTTACTGTGGTGATGGTGCAGATATTGTATTAGACATATAACACATAGCATATCTTTAATATTTAGAGCCTTCATACATGGTAGTAATTATGATTTCCACGTTACATATAAATAAGCTAAAGTTCAGCAATGTTAAGTGAACCGTCCAAAAACAACACTGCACATCAGTTGTTGAGCCATGATGTACACCTAAGGTCATCACATCTCCAAACACTCTTTCTGATCACATCACATCACATCACACTCACTTTCCTCTCAGTACAGTGGAAGACACTGTAGCGTTGTCCTTAGATCCCGTATTTCACTTGGGGTCATTAACAAAATTAAAACAACTTTTGATAGTTCAATAACTAATGTCATTGAGTGGAATTCAAGAGAATACTCTTCCTTACTGATGCTCACTCTACCTGTACTTGTCCATGGGAAGACATTGTAGGGTTTTGTGATGATTTGTTTTACGCTCTATGTAATCATAAAGTTTGAGTTATATCAGGCTCAAATTATACAATTATATGTAGCATACACATGTGTGGAATAATATATATATATATTCTATATGCATAGAATACATAATTACACAGGTATATATATAATAATAGCTACTTAATAAAAACATCTATAAATTAATTAATGAACTGTCAATGTGATCATTGCAATATGTTGTTTTACTTCTTTCTGTCTATGACATATCTGTAATGAGTGGGGAGTACATACTGTCCACAATCTTATTTTAAAGAGAATGCAACTTTATTGGATGAACTTGCAGGTTGAACATCCCTAATCAAAAGTCCAAAATCTGAAATGCTCCAAAATCCAAGGTTTTTTGAGCACTTACATGATGTTCAAAGAAAATGCTCATTAGAGTAGTTAGGATTTTGGATTTTCAGATTAGGAACCAGTATGTGCAATGCAAATATCCTAAAATAAAAAATAAATTCAGAAATCTGAAAAATATCTGGCTCCAAGCATTCAGGATAAGAGATACTCAGCCTGTACTATACTCAGTGTTCAAGAGATGAAAGTGGTGATAGAAATAGACATATTCTGCCTGCAAAAATTCCAGAAGAGTTGCCATTGACAATATAAATCCTTGGAAAGACATATAGAACTCTTAGGTTATAAAGTTTGGTCCCCACTTTCCGAAGTATCAAACACTCACTCTAAATATTAATGATACTTGGCTACAGTTTCAACAGAGACCTGGTAACAACTTACTCAAATGAATTAGTCTCCTCCTCACTAAAAAATTCAAATGATCTTTGGAGGGTTTAACGAAACTACAACTTTCCTTTTATGTATAGCCCTGGCTGTAGTGTTCATTCCATGCTGACTTTTCCCTGACACTTAGAGGTTGTCCTTCTAAGAACAAAAGAAAGAAACACAGGATATCCCAACATTTGGGAAACAGAATTTTAACCTTCAAATGTCTGACACTGGTCCCATAACAGAGGTCTTTAAAAAAAATCTTTAAATAAATCCTCTGTTTTCACTCAGCCTTCTCTAGAGGGACTGATAAACCACAGTTTAACATCTATTTGAGTCTATCCTCCTGTCTATTGAGTGGCACAGCAGTAGTCTTCAAGTGTATAATTTTCAAATTGGGAAGCAATTGATTCGAATCCTGTATGCCTAACTCCAACTACAGTTATTAAATGAGTCAGGACTAAGATGCTGCTTTATAACAAGTATTTCTCACTTTCTAAAATCTTTTATTCTAACCCATAGGAAATCAGATAGATGTGTACTCACCAAGCAAGAATAGGAATCATTTAGTCTGTGATCCAAAGTCTGCCTCTGGAGTAGTCTAAAAAGAAAGGCGTGGTCAAGCTTGCAGGGATTAGCAGAAATAAACTCATCCATACCATGCTTCTGAAAACGATCTGCATCTGTAAATTCAGAAAAGCATGTAGAGTACATTTATTTTTCTGGATTAATGATGAACAAATACAGTTTTGAAGAATACAAAATTCATGCCTCATTACAGAAGACAATCTCCTGTCAACAAAATAGGATGCCAAGAATTCAGCACATTAACATAAATTTAACGTTTCTGAAGCAAGTAAAAATGACAGAAAAATGTGCAAGTCACTTAGAATGAAAATGTTCTATTTTCACTTAAGTTTGCTTCTTTACATCCATCAGAATAATCATCTTATTTTCCAACTTTGAGAAAAGTTGATGTATTTTAAATTTACATTTACTGGTGGTGGAATTGACTAGAAAGAAGCCAACGTCTATTCATGAAAAACAGCAACGATGGCTAGAAGCCTGTTTTCCAAATGGCAAACTAGAGCAGAAATGAACACAGGCGCTTCAGCTGGATCACTTCCAGTCTTCTTTTTGTGTGGAGCTTTTAATGGGACCATCTTTAATGTAGAAATGCCAACGAACGCTCTCAAGCTTCCAGTTTAAGAGACATAAAAAAGGGAGCATCATGTTTGTGCAAATATGTAGACAAAGCATAACATCCCAAATGGCACTTCAATCAAAGGTCTAAATTTATTGTTCTTTACAGATTGCATCTTTCAACGCCTGGAGACCCTGCGGGTTTATCAAAAGGCAAGCTTTTATGATTGCTTTCATTAATGGTATGTTTTGTCAAAGTCTTCAATGTGAGTTATTTACTAAGTATAGAGAGAAAAAGCCACACATTACCCCAAAGGAGTACTGGGTGTTATTACATTAGCTCTGTTAGAAACATAGTGCATATTGAGCAAGAAATCAGTTATCAAGATAAAAGTGGACTCTTCTCACAATGGTAAGACTGAAGCACCATTGTTCCTTCAAATTCATAGATAGATCTTTTTCTGGCCATCATAAGAAAAGCAGAGTCCTAATGTAAGCTAAGTGTAGTTTCTAAAACCTACATGGTACAACCCTAAAATTGTAAAGGAAAAGAGACAAAAGTTTATTGATTAAACCCAATTATAGAGTCAGGCTCATAATAAAACTCAATATTGATCTGTGGACATGATGCTAACATAATCAGTCACATTTAGATATTTAGCCCAGATCATATTGATCCATGTCAAGTTCAACTTTCAGCCATATTTGTGGATGGAAGAACTATATAATTCAAGCTGAAGGGTCCTCAGAATCACATTTTTTAAAAAAGATACACAAACTAATGTACATTTCATGTCAGTGACAGATATCAAAAGGTGAATGCAGCAAGTAAGCAAATGAATGGTAGTTTACTGATATGTAAGGTATGAAGTTATTATTCGAGAAAATAACATGTGTATTCTTTTGCATTTAACAATTATTTATCTGAATGATTAAATAGATTACATGTGATAAGTTAGTTTTAACTAGACCAACATGAAACTAAACTGCTTCTTTTGAACTGAGAAATGAGACAACTGAACTTCCTTTGTGTTTTATGCTTCTGAAAATCTTTTAATATTAAGTTAAATATATGACACTGTGAAATAATATCAAAAGAGTAGAAGGTAGAATGTTGAAAATGCAAAGCACATATATTATAAAATTGGAAGATTTTGCATGTATTTTAAGAAATTTACTTTACAATCATTTCTCTAAGTAAAAAGTTTCTTTTGGTATCACATTTTAAAAATTAAATTACTGATTTGATAAAACATCTGCTGAATTTTATTTCTTATCTCTTTCACAAGAGAAGGTCATAACAAGCAGTTAAAAATAATGCTCATTGATGGCTTCTTTGTTGAGAACAGGATAGCAATAAATTTTAGACAAAAACGATACATAATTCTTCTTTTACTATAGACATTTGTAGAAGCATTTTAAAAATAATGGGCATACAATCTTAAGTAAAATATATGTTTCTAAAAAAAGTTGATAGTTGATTTCTATAATTAAATCATATTTCTAATAAATGTACAATGCATTATCCTCATGAAATACAACTCTAAACCATGTATTTACTAAGGTAACAAGCCTTTACAAATCACACACATGAATGGAAAAATTTCTTTTCCAACAATTACAATGATAGCAACACCTCAATTTAAATCACAAATATAGACCCTATACTGACATTGAGAAAACAAGCAAACAAGTCTACTAAAAGTTTTATTAAAAAAGAAAACCTGCAATCCCTTCAGGTATAAAATTGTATGAAAGCAAAGTATATGTTCTTAGGGATTATCCTATTTTTAAAACACAGGGGCTGTAAAGACCAAGCATTTCTACTTCTTTCTATGTCAGACAAGCACAATTTAACACATTTTAAGCAAAAATACTTTATCACATGTCACTATACTCTTAAGGTCTATGAATTTATGAAGAAATAAAATAAACTAAAAGTGCAACAATTTTTATCTCCCTGTGTAAAAGCTTTTTTAGGGGTCCCGTACTTCAGGAAAACTTTATCTTCAAAAGCAGGCAATTGGTTTTAGTTTACTGGCCCCCAAGCCCTTGTTTTAAACAAAAATTTATGCCAGTGCTTATAACATACTAAAAAATAAAATGCATGGCAACAATAGCATCAAAGCCAGGAAGGGAGAAATAGATGTATATATTGAATGCTTATTTTTCTAATATAATAATTTTTGTGTATATATTTAAGGTTTACAACATGATGTTATGATATACTTACACAGTAGACAGTAAAATAGTGACTATAGAGAAGCAAATGAACATATGTATCATCCCACATAGTTTTTTGAGATAAGAACAGCTAAAAATCTACTTATTTCACAAAAATTGCAATATAAGATGATTTTATGGACTCTAGTCCTCGTGCTGTGCCTCTCATCTCTGGACTTCCTCATCCTACATATCTGCAACTGTGCAAACTTTGGCATATGTCTCCCCTTCTCCTCCCTCTAACTTCTCTCATGGCCTAAAGTAAAACAGGGAATCAAAAATCATCAGAGCATTATCTAGTTTCTTATTTCTATAAAAGCATATTTTCATATAGCTTTCTCCAGTCTTAACATATCTGTATTTTACTCTTGGGAGACAAGAGCCATCATCTGAATCAGCTGGAAAACATGTTTTCAGTCAAAAATATCACCAAATCCAAGGCTTTAAAACTAGGTTACACTGGATTACTTTCAATTAATAGTTATTATAACACACATTTATGGTGACTAATTTACAACAAAGAAAATTATTCATGGTGCTATTCAAATGTTCTCTGATAATAGCAAATATCAGTTTGTCTTCTAAAGCAATATAAAAATTATCAAAAAACCCAACAAGATATGAGTTTAAACAATATACAGCAAAATCATCATACATTGTGATGATTAACCTATGGTCTAACTACAGAGGCCAGACATGATAATTGAGGCTGCTGGCGGAGTTTCTATGGCAACAATTGGATATATGCTCCAGCATCTTTAGGTGGTGCTATCACCAGGTGTGCTAACACTAGATGGAATAAAACTCAAATTGAGAAAGATTATTATTTGCTATAGATTTAAGACGTTATAGAGGTTTTATTCAAATGAAGTCTAAAACTTCAAATTTATCATTAGGAAAATAGTTGGAGGTTAAGAGAAATAGTAAGTATGCTAAGAGTATTGATTTAAACAGTCAACACTGACTTGAAAATAGCACAGAAAATAATGTGAGGATTATCAGTGAGCTGGTAGACCCTATTGGGGTGGGGGAGGCCCCTAAGTGCTTGAGAATCCAAATACTGGGAAAGCCATCAATGTTAGAAAGGTGAGACAGAACACATTCACTGCAATATTTCTTCTTCCTTTGTAACAAATTCTCATGTTGCTGCATGTTTTACTTCTCCTGGTGTTGTGAGAAAAATGATAGATGCAAAAGGGAAAAGAAAAGGGAAGGGGGCACTGAAGAAGAAAAGGGGGCCACTCATGAGCATTCTGAGGTCACTGAGGTGTCTGGGACCGAGGCTCACATATCAAAAGGACAAAGAGGGTATTGCTTGTCAAGAGCTGGTCTCTTCCACAAGATATTGAGCTGAACTCAGCAGCAAATGAACCTTTTGAAATACAATACAAGGTTGGGCACGGTGGCTCAAGCCTGTAATCCCAGCACTTTGGAAGACTGAAGTGAGAGAATTGCCTGAGCTCAGGGGTTTGAGACCAGCCTGGGCAACTTGGTGAGACCTCGTCTCTACAATAAATCAAAAAATAAGCTGGGCGTGACAGGGCGCACCTGTAGTTCCAGCTACTTGGAAGGCTGAGGAAGAAGGATTGCCTGAGCCCAGTAGCAGCCATGAGTGTTGCCACTGCACTCCAGCCTGGACAACAAAGTGAGAATCCGACACAAAAAAACAAAGAAAAAGAAAAAAAGAAATATAATACAATTTATTGCTTGCTGTTTAAAATTGCCCTATGTTTAGTAGTTTGCCAGTAGCTGCATTTACCATTACTCATACCTGGTTATTCATTTCTTTTAGTTGAAAGAAATGAATAACTTTCTTTTATAGGAAGTTAAAAGGCACAGAGAAGTAGGTCCTACTTCTCTTTTTATACTACCTGTGTGGCCTTTATTAGGATGAGATTACTATTTTAAAATTTTACATAGATCAGCCTGAATAGTATGTTCATTTTTTTATGCATGCATGTTTTCTGCCAAAGACCAAACAGTAATGGTTGGTAGATATCTTATTTAGGGTTTTGTTCACACCTCTTTTATGGACATAAATAATTGCTTAGCTCCTTTTGGTTAAATTGATTAAAAACTGATATGTGGATTAATACATCTTGCTTTCTGCAGCAAATAAAATGTAATACTTTCACATGATGGCCAACACATAGAGATTTGGAATTACAAATAAGAAAAGTAAAGCAGTATTGAACATTTATTAGAAATAATGTTTCATGTAAAGTAAGACAAATGCTTCCTTATGAAGTATGAAATGTAACATATTAGATTGATCAGGAAAATAAGTTCACAAAATTAAATGTAAGTTTATATTCCAACTTAAGTATTTAAAAATATTTAGCTTAAAAATAAAAAAGACATACTTTTCTGGTTCATTTTGACATTAATTTATTATCGGAATTCAACTACTACTATGTTATACTGTATTATGTGACATGCACATTATCAATATGTCACATATATGACAGAGATCATGAAAACCAGGGTGTTTGCAAAATATCATATTTTGGTTGGAGAGTAAAGAAGAATAATTTAACCAAAGAATGTCTGTCCCTCTGGCAGAGGCAGAACATTACGTTTAAAGTGGATAGGCTGCTCCGCAGCATAACCCCTACCCCTTCAGCCCACACCATTCCCTTAGAATTTGGATATATCCTGAGAGTCAAAGAAAAAGGGAGGAAAAAGATTAGCTTATTAGAGAAATCTACAAATACACATTATTTATAGCCTAAAAAATAAGGTTGATTTCTAATAACTTAGCTTTTATACATTTATTCTTTTGCTTAGTTATTAGTACACTTAGTTTTAAAAAATAAGTTTTTTAGTTGTAAAATACATACTTCGAAGAAAATTCAGAAAATAGAAAAATTAAAATACCAAGTATGGTATCTCTGGTGGGTCAGGGTCAGTATTCTCATTCTGAGGAAGTGGACAATTTTCTCTCTTCCTGCTTTTCTTTTTCTTTATCTTTTAGTTTTTTAACAAACCTCAAACTCATCCACTGTGAATGTAATTCTATCTATACTTTTGTTTTTTAAACCAGGGTTTTTTATTTCTTAGTGAAAATAATATCACATGTATAATTTAGTATTTTCCACTTAACATATTAACTATTTTGTTGCATGTTATTCTACCACCTTCATAGCCATTCTCTTTGTGCCTGTGTGAATAGTAGATATCAGGTGTTTCAACTCTTTTGTAGTGGTAAATAGACATTTTTGTTTTATAAGTGGTAAAGCCAACCCAACTATTCTGAGTTTGGCTAGAAAGTAGGAGAGTAACACTGTAAACAAAACCATGATATAATTTAACATTTTAGTACATTTAATTTAAAAACCATGGAAATACTTACCTTTACCAGCTGTAGGTCAGCAAAGAAATGAGAACAAAGAATATTCAAATGCTTTAGGAACATATATATCAATGTAACTAGACATTTTAATTTTTACATAATTTTTCAATTTCTACTCATAATTTTAAAAGCTGTTCTAAAAGGTGATCAGGAAAGAAGAAAAAAAAAGAAATATAAGGGAAGAAATACTATGGGTAAAACTACTCTCTGGAGCAATTCAATGACATCTCTCTGATAGGTCAGGGTCAGTATTCCCATTCTGATGAAGTAGAACATTTTATTTCTTTTTGCCTTTCTTTTCTTTATTTTTTTATTTTTAAGAAAGACAAAACAGCAGGGGTATGCTCTGATTAAAAATTTTACTAGCCCCATGGAATACAAGACAGCTGTTAACACAATTTAGTTTGGTTTTTTAGTTATAACAAGTTCCTCTAACCTGATCAACCCTGCATTGACAATACATTGTTATTAATAGTAGAAAGGTTTTGTTACCAACAGATTATATGGATATATGAATTAACTACTTATTTTGAACCTGTTTTCATTCATTCTGTATTGTCTAGCCATTGTTGTAATGTTCTAGGCTAGTGGCTCCAACCACTTTTCTTTTTCTTTTCTTTCTTTCTTTTTTTTTTTTTGAGTTGGAGCCTCACTCCTTCGCCCAGGCTGGAATGTAATGGCATGCATGCTCACGGCCACCCCAGCGTCGACCTTCTGGGTTCCAGCGATCCTTCTGCCTCAGCCTTCCGAGTAGCCAGAACTACAGGCACACGCCACCATGCCCGGCTATTTTTAATTTTATTGTAGAGATGAGGTCTCGTCAAGTTTCCCAGGCTGGTCTCGAACCCGCAGATTCAGGTAATCCACTCGCCTTGTCCTCCCAAAGTGCTGGGATTACAGGCTGAACCACCGAGCCAGACCTCCAACCACTTTTCTTGTCACCATATGCAAGAGATGCTATCTGTGTGCTTAGCACGTTCCTCGAGCATTCCTTGTAGGGGCTGATTCTTCCCCAACTTTAACCCTGCCCTCTAGAACATTTGGCAATGTCTGAAGTCATTCTGGTTGTTAGCCCTGGTGGTGGGATGGTAAGGGGGATTATTGACACATCTACTGAACATCTAGTGGGCAGAGGCCAGGGTAATGCACAGGAAAGTCTCTTACTCAGCCTCCTGCCTGAAAAAGACTTTCCTAGCCCAAAATATCAATAGAGGTTGGAAAATCCTGCTTTAACTTATGAAAAAACTAATCATTCTATCATTCTGCTTCTGGTCAAGATGGCATAATTGAGAACAGATTTACACTCCTTTCTGAAATGACTAAAAATTTGGGGCAAAAAATTACAAAATGGTTCTCAAAACACTGTACTTTGGGCAACACAGGGAAAGTGATTCCTGAGAGACAGGAAATAAACAGACGAGTCTTATAGTCACCCCAGGATACTACCAGGATAGACTCTAGGCTGTGGTACAGGGAACAGGAAGCCAGGAAAAGCCTAGTGGTTTTGAGTAGAGAAGATGGAGTTGAGAAGATGTAGCTGACAGTTCAGAAGACCACGGTGACTAGAGTTTCTAGGGAAAAGTACTAGAGAGAAGAGAACTGCACAGAGAACTCTCCAAATCTGCAGAGGGACTCTCCCAAGGGTTCAGCTGACTACTGATCAGCTCATGCGTGCATGGAAACTCCTTGAGGCCAGGGAAATAACCAGTTTAAGGATTGGACGGAACAGTGCTCCAACCTCTCACAGGCTAGAATGGCACTTATTCCCAACAGCAAGAATATAAAACCTCATAATTCTCAGGTTACCAGTTAGAGTATTAAGAAAGACCTTGGTCCAGAAGTGAAGAAAATTAATTCTAGACTAAACACAGCTTGGTGTCATCTAATAAAACTTACAGCAAACTCTGAAAGGATTGAATTGTTTCCAAGTATAATGACATAACTGTGTCTCAGAAGAAAGCTCAAGAACATTTTCGTGAAAAAATGACACCATGGCACATCATAATCAAATCACTCAAACAGAGTGTTAAAGAGAAAATCTTTAACGCAAATAGAAAACACACACACACACACACACACACACACACACACACACACACGCACACACACGCACACACACGTTACTTATAGAGAAACAAACCAAGTAACAGCACATTTCTCACTGGAAATATACATGCAAGCTAGAAAAAAGTGGAACAAAATCTTTAAAATACTAAAAGAAAAGTATCTTTCAAAATGAACGTAAAATAAAGACTTTTTCACATATATAAAAGCTGAAGTAATTCATCACTAAGCAGAACTGCACTACAAGAAAAGTCAAAGGAAATCCTTCAAGAAGTAAAATTGCTATACAATAAAAAGCACTGGAAATGGTAAATGCATAGATAAATACATAAAATTTTCTCTCACTATTTACATTTTAAAAAGATAACTGATTGTTTAAGACAATAACAACAACAATAATAATGTATTGTGGGATTTGTAACATTTAGAGGCAAAATATATGACAAATATAATACAAAAGCCAGAAGGGGAAAAATGAGAGTTTTCTATTCTAAGGTTCATATACTATACATGAAATTGTATAGTAGCCCTAGAAGATAGACTGTTATAAGTTTAAAGTACATATTTTAAATTCAAAAGTAATCACAAAGATAATAAAACAAGCAATTGGACTGAAATAAAACTACTATTTATAATAACACCAAATATGAAATACCAACAGAAAAAATCTGTCGAGATGTACCAGATCTGCTCACTGAAAACTGCAAACATCCCAAAGAGAAATTAAAGATAATTTAAATGAGTGAATTGATAAACTGTATTCATGGACTGGAAGATTCAATATTGGTTAAGATGTCAACTTTCAAAGTTTTCCAAAGACTGACCTATAGACTCAAGGCATTCATTCCCAATGAAAATCCCTACAAGAAATGTCAAATGTTTAAAAAAATTTACACTGTACTCCATAAACACACATAATTATTACCAATTAAAAGTAAATAGATTTATTTTAAAAATTCATGGGAAAATGCAGATGACATAGAATAACCAAAACACCTTTGTACAAGAAAAACTGGTTTGGAGGAATAGCACTATCTGATTCTAAGATTTACAAAATGACAGAAATCAAGATAGTATGGTAATAATATCAAGACAAACAAACTGATCAAAAGAAAAGAAAGGAGAACCCAGAAATATACTCATGTGCAGTCAGTTGATTTTTGACAATGTGCAGGGATAATTCAGTGAAAGAGTCTTTTCAGCTATTTGTACTAGAACAACTGGATATCCATATGTTATCCATAAACATTCATGAATCCTTTCATTGATATACAAATATTAACACAAAATGGCTGTAAAATATAAAATCCAAATCTATAGCATTTCCAGAAAAGGGCATGGAAGAAAATCTTTGTGATCTTGATAAGGCAAAGATCTTTTAGTTATAATGCCAAATGCATAACCTTTAGAAATGGATACGCCTTTAGAATAAAATAAAATAAAGTAAATGGATAAAATGTTTATCTTCAGGTAACCTCTTAGGTCCCCTCCCACTGTGGGAGCTTTTTTGTCTTCTTGATAAGTCCTGCTTTCTAAAAAAAAAAAAGTTTATCTTCAAAATTAAGAACTTATTCTCTTTGAAAGAGAATATTAAAAGATATAAAAAGACAAGCCACAGATTAGGAGAAAAGATTGCATATCACATATTTGATAAGTATCTTTTATACAGACTATACAGGCATACCTAACTTTTTGTGTTTCCCAGAGGTGGGTGTTTTTCATGAATCAAACATTTTGGCAAACTAACATCATGCAAGTCTGTCGGTGTCATTTTTCTAATAGCACATGCTCATTCCATGTCTCTGTCACATTTTTGTAATTCTTGTAATATTTCAAATTTTTTCATTATTATTATATCTATTATGGTGATGTGATCAGTGATCTTTGATACTGCTATTGTTAACTGTTTTGGGGTGCAATGAATTGTACTGATATAAAACAGTAAACAACTGATAAATACTGTGTATGTTTTAATAGCTCCACCCACTAGACTGTCCCCCCATCTCTCCCTCTTTCCTAGGACCTCCCTATTTCTTGAGACAAATAATTTTGAAATTTGGCCAATTAATGGACTCGAATTGTCCAAGTGAAAGGAAGAGTCACAGGTCTCTCACTTTAAATCAAAGCTGCAAATGATGAAGCTTGGTGACTACGGCATTTTGAAAGCCAAGATAGGCTGAAAGCTAGGCCTCTTGCACCAAAGTGCTTCATCAGTGTTCACATGTGCTACATCAAAGTGCTTCATCAGTGAACACATGAGTAATAAGAAAGTAAACAGGAGAGAAAGTAAAATTATTGTTGATATTGAGACAGTTCTAGTGGTCTGGATAGAAGATCAAACCAGCTACATTTCTTTAAACCAAAGACTAATCCAGAGCAAGCCCCTACCTCTCTTCAATTCTATGAAGGTTCAGAGAGGCGAGGAAGCTACAGAAGGAAAGTTTGAGGTTTGTAGAGATTGGCTCACAAGGTTTAAGAAAAGAATCCATCTCTATAAAGTTCACTTGCAAGGTGAAGCCACAAGTGCTGATGCAGACCCTGCAGCAAGTTATCCAGAAGATATAGCAAAGATCATTGATGAAGGTGGCTTTATTAAACAACAGATTTTTCATGTAGACGAAACAACCTTCTATTGGGAGAATATGCCATCTAGGACTTTCATAGCTAAAGAGGAGAAGTAAATGACTGACTTCAAAGGACACACTCTTTTGTTTGTGGTTAATGCAGCTGGTGACTTTAAGGTGAAGTCAGTGTTCAGTTACTCTTCCAAAAATTCTAGGGCCCTTAAGAGCTATGCTAAATCTACCTATCCTGTGCTCTATAATTGAAACAACAAAGCTTAGCTAACAGCACATCTGTTTACAGTATGGCTTATTGAATATTTTAAGCCCATGTATGAGGCCTACTGCTCAGACAAAAAAAATTTATTTCAAAGAAATAAAATGTACAATAGATTAAGTAAAATGAGATAGAAGTACACCATTACACTGTATGCAACAATCAGAAGAATGAGGTTAGATGCACGCATACACATATGGGCAAATTATAAAAACACAGAGCTGAGTGAAAAATGTAAAACTGAGTAAGACAAATAATACACTACCATTTATGTAGTTTGACACTAAATGCACACATACAAAATACAATATTGCAAGATGACAAAGGAAGTTCACATTAAATGCTGTAGAATTGTAGCTCACAGGGAAAGGGTCAGAGATTGGCCTATGGAAATGGCAGACAATGAAGCTGTAAAAATATGGTTTTATATATCAGGAATCAAAACCAAGAGGAACAAAAAAAACATAGATCAGTCAGATGGAGGAAAGTGCTTTTGGAAAGAGATCCGACTAGAGTTTATTCAGTGGTGGGGGTGGACAACCAAAAAAAGTTAGAAGAAAAAAAGTTCTGGAGGAATGCTAAAGGAGTCTTGTGCTTTGATGCCCGATGCAGGCACAGCCCAGGAAGACTTATTCGACCTGGCACTTTAACTAGAAAAGAAGCAAGAGGAGAAGTCAATGACTGACTTCAAAGGACCACACTCTTTTGTTAGTGGCTAATGCAGCTGGTGACTGGGTTAAAATAGAAATGCCTGCGTGCCCAGTGCATTGCTGGAGAATATCCATCAAGTTACTATGCACCACTTACTGTGGCCAGAACCCACTAAACATGATAAAAGGGGTTCAAAGATGGCTGGAGTTGAGACAAGGAGGACACAGACTATGTGGACCTCATTGCCAAATGTCATGAGCAATGCATACTAGCATACAATTAATGGAACCAAGAAGCAGATTATGCCCTAGGCCACCATGGACTAGATGCTACAAGTCAATGATATCACAATCTTATGTAATCCCTCTGGAACTTAATTTACTCTGGGCGATATGGAAGAAGGAGAGTCTAGAATTAATTGGATTTAAATCTGTGACTCAGTTGTTTTGATGAGTTTAAGTTTTTTTGCAACATGAGGAATGAGGATTTAAGATATGTTCAATTGTACAGAAATAAAGTCATACTTCTGCACACCCTAGTTCTGATGGAAAATTCTTATCTGCTGTACCATACTCTATGTGTATTACCAGTGGGTGAGATGAAGGTTAAAAAAAGAGTTAAATTTTTAAATAAAGTGAAAATATACACCTTAATATGCTTTGTTTATTTTATCTTTAAAGATGATAATGCTGTCAATTTTTTTTTATTTATAAAGAAAAGAAGTTTATTTGGCTCACAGTTCTGCAATGCTGCCAATTTTAAAGTAAGAATAAATAAGAAATTTTCAATAAATTTAACAAGTTTCAATACATAATATTCCTAAATAGTTTTCACTGTAATTTTAAAAATGTGCCCAAATTAATTAAGGTAACCTGTGAAAGAAGGTTACCTATGAATTAAGGTAACCTGTGAAGAAAAAACTCATATTCTATCTTTAATTATTTAAAGTGCGTTTGTTTAAGATGCCCAGAGGTGATACTGAAGGGTATCTAAAAAGAAAAAAGAGTAGTTATTTAATGCATAAAAAGTAGAAGAAGAAAATAATGCATGTCAAGATGTTATTTCCTTGGAGAAGAATCTTGAGAATACAAAGGCACAGTATGAGCGTAAAGTTAAAGAAAAACATTTATTACAGGTGAAACCAGAGAAGCTAAAACATTTGATTTAGTGATTATTAAAGCTATGTTTCTACCATCATTACATAATTTATATTAATCATCAGTAAATTAAAATGAAAAATATGGTTCTTAATTTTTTAAATTAGCATACAAAAATGACATGTTTTTAAGGCTTTTGGAAAAAGAATGTTGGCTTTATGATTTATTCTTTGTATTATTTTATGCAGGAAAAAAAGGCCCATGATCCTTCTGGGTTATTAAGAACAATTGTAGAAAGTGATAGTTCATCGCTGTGGTACTGTGGAATCCTATCAATGCACTTTGGATTTTGCAATACTTTCCCCATTTCCTTAGGAGACCTAAGTCAAAATTACAATAAAAATGAATTTTCCTTGAGAAGTTTTGGAGAATTTGCTTATGTGCTCTTGAAATTCCCAGAAATACCCCAATGCCTGTCAAATTCATAATTAGAAACCACAAGTACCATTTATTCCAGATTTGTGTGAATAATTAGATAACAGATTCTATGACTACTAATATGAAGTATTTTTATTTAATTAGGAATCAGTTAATGATGTAAACTATAATGCTGAACAAATTTGCCTCTGACAATTTTATATCTTATTAAGGTTATTAATTGATAATCAAATTATTTTTTAACAAAACTTACAAAGCTGAGCATCTGTATGGAGAGTTCCTCCTTTAGGATTCAGCTTCTGGGTTTGAATGGCAGGAACTGGTTTATATGATTGACCTGTGGCTCTGTACATGGCTTGAACCCATAATATTCTGTCCTGTTCATCATCACTGGCAAATATTACAGTATCTCCTTCTTTAACAGCATTAAAGAACATATTACCACCTTGAAGACCTGTGGAGGAAGAAAGACATCATTAAAAATGTACAGGATTGGCAGATTTTAGTCTCACTCAATAACTGATCTCATGAAAAGGAATGGACTTGATATTAGCAGCTTAATCCTTTAAATATTTTTTAATTTAGGATCAAATCCACAATGTAAGGTATGAAGGGAAACAATAACAAGAAAGATTAAGGCTTTATATTGCTTTGGGAATTAAAAAATAACTCAGGGAAAAATAACAGTCTGTGACACAGTAACATTCTGCAAGACATATAAACATACCCCATAGAAATGCATAGCATAATCTGGGATTTCATAACTGAGAAGAAAGTCTTATCTGTTGGCATATTTACCATTCTATATGCAGGAGATATAGCTAATGTGATTAGCAAAAGAAAAAAAAAGTAGGGCAAAAATGGTAGTTAACATTGTGTGGCATTTTATCTTTTGTAAAATTTGTTTACAGAGATGATAACATTTTGCATTTCTAAGTGACCAATTAGTGACTATGTTCACAGATTTCTATTTCTTAATCTCTATTCATTAAATTTTAATCTCTATATTTATTACTATCTACATTTCTTGATCTTAAATATTAATGTCATTGTTATCTGTATATTTATTTATTCATTCACTTACTATGTTTTAGAGACCAGGTGTCTAGTACTGTTTCTAGTTTTAATATGAAGGAAGAGAGAGAACTACAAGAATGTGTTTGGGGGAAGAAAATTAGTAGGTATAATATATAATAATTCATTTGCCATTTCTTCCCCTATTTCTGCTGTAATTTTTGCTTTCCAGTAAAGAAGTTTTTATAAATATTGTTGATTTTCTCATATTGTTCTATTACAAATTTTTTACACATTGTAACCTTGTACTAAAATGACAGAGATAATGAATTATGGCTAAAAATAAAAGCCCTCAAAAAATATAACCTAAATCTCATAAAATCTTGCCCAGGTATATAAGTGAAATACCCACCCCAGTGGAGTTTGAACTATAGAACAAACACAGGACAGTTATAAGAATTTTGTGCAAACATGCATGGCAAGGAAGGTGATCCAATTTAGAATTACCTGGGTGGGGATCTGTATAATCCACCGTGTATCCTTCAAGCTGCATTAATTCTTGTGGTTCAGACTTTTTTTCTCTGTAACTGCACATAGCAAAGGTGTATTGGCTGACCTGATGAAGAAAACAAAGTTTGCAAGTTGGTCCCATTAAATCTATCAAATTTAACTTACAGTTTTTTCTTTATCAGAAGATTCTTTCAAGTAAAATACAATGTAATTTGCATACAAATTGTTAAACTCTTTCAAAACCTAACTCAGAGACTGAAGAACTTTCCCTTGTCAAGCTGCCTCCATTAGGTCTTCCAGGCCGATGACCCATCATTTCCCAAGTCAAAAATGATTCAGTAGCCAAGCTTCTCCGACACACTAATAGAGGCACCATGAATAAGTATACATAAGTATTCGTGTTAATAAGCTTGAGTTGTCAGGATAAATACAGACAAATAAGTTTCTTTTACTTCAGGCTTTCAGGTTGCAAATCTCTAAGAGTGAGAAATATTCCTAATTTACATAACCATAGGATCAAATTTTCAAGCATACTTATTTCAAGACTTTTAACCAAAGTGAAAAAAAAACAATCTAAATGAAAATTAAGAATTTATTGCCCGCATAACTGAACCAAACCGGAAAGGGCCAGAGTAGTGTAAGTTTTAGGCAGCCAGTGACCACACCTCCAAGATCTGCTCTGCTCTCAATGCTTCTCTTTTGGATTGGCCACATTTTGTGTGCTAAAGTCTCTCTGCCAACAATTCTTTTTTTTTTTTTTTTTTGTATTTTTCAACTTTTTTTTTATTATGGACAATTTCTGACTATAGGGCAATTAAGCTAGAAATGTATAATAAAATAGTAACTTAAATATCTTTAAAAATTGGATTTAGAGTCTATAATATTCAGTGATCTATCACAGAAAAAAATAACAGAGTTCCATATGTTCTCACCCACAAGCAGACCCTGACCATTTACCATAATATTATTATTATTATTTTATTTTTTTATCAATATTTTTTATTATGATAGTGTGGGGTACAGTTAAGGGTTAGGTATACAAATACGTTTTGTTCAGGCACCCTGTTGATAAGAGGTGTTTCCCTGACCCCAGAGGTGATTCCCTACCGTTAATCCCATCTCCCTCCCCCCCACCATAGTTTCCCACTACTGTCAGTCATTTTCTTATAGTATTACATTGGATGTTCAAGGTCCATTATATGAGTGAGAACATGTGTAACTCGGATCTTTGTTTCTGTGAGAGGTCACTCAGTATTATAGACTCTAGTTCCATCCAGGTTGCTGAGAAATTCATGATTTTATTCCTTTTTATGGCTACGTAGTATTCCATCGTGTATATGTACCACATTTTTTAATCCAGTCCTCTTTTGATGGGCAGCATGGTTGGTTCCAGGTTCTTGCTATTGTGAACAATGCTGTGATAAACATACGTGTGCAGGTATCTTTTTTATAAAGTGATTTGAGTTCTTCAGGATATATTCCCAGTAGGGGGATTGTGGAGTCATATGGGAGGTTGATATTTAGAGCTTTTAGGAATCGCCACACTGCTTTCCACAGAGGTTGCACTAGTTTACACTCCCACCAACAGTGTAGCAGTGTTCCCTTTTCTCCATACCCTCTCCAGCAGCTGTTACTTTTTGAGTTGTTGATAACTGTCATTCTGACTGGAGTTAGGTGGTATCTCAAGTGTGGTTTTGATTTGCATCTCCCTGATGATTAGTGAGGTTGAACATTTCTTCATGTGTCTGTTGGCTGCTCGGATGTCTTCCTTTGTGAAGTGTCTGCCCATATCTTTTGCCCATTTTATAATGGGGTTGTTTGTTTTTTTCTTTTCAGCACATTTAAGTTCCTTGTAGATCCAAGACGTTAAGCCTTTGTCAGACCTGGTGTTGGCAAATCCTTTTTCCCAGTCTGTAGGCTGTCTCCCTGCTCTCTTGATTGTTTCTTTGGCTATGCAGAAGCTTGTCAGTTTAATAAGGTTCCACTTGTCTATCTTCTCTCTTATGACCTGTGGATTTCAGGTTTTGTTCAGGAATTGGATGCCAGTTCCAATTTCCATGAGGATATGTCCTTCATTTTCTAAGGTTTTTATTGTTTGGGGTTTTACATTTAGGTCTCTGATCCATTTAGTTAACCTTTGTGCATGGGGATAGATAGGGGTCCTGTTTCAATCTTCTGCATGTGGTCAGCCAGTTTTCCCAGCACCATTTACTGAATAGGTTTCTCCTCTTCCCAGTGGTAGGTGGTGGAGGCTTTGTCAAAGATGAGTTGGCTGAGAAATCGAGGTTTTGCTTCTGGAATCTCAATTCTATTCCATTGATCTATATGCCTGTTCCTATACCAATACCAAGCTGTTTTGATGATTGTAGCTTTATAGTAGAGTTTGAAGTCTGGTAATGTGATACCCCCTGC